AGAGACACACAGACAGAAAGACAGACAGACAGACCAGACCAGACCAGAAATTTAACTCCCAGAACCCATGTAAAAGGCCAGGTGTGCTGGTGCCTGCTGGCCTTGAACTGATTCTCCTGCCTCAGCCTCCCACGGGCAGGGGTTCTGGGCACGCACCACCACGTTGCTATGCTGGACACTACACTATGATAGAATCCAGGGCCTTTCATATGCTCAACAAGCCTCTTCTCTGACAGCCACGCTCCAGCTCCGCTGTGGCCTTGCTGGACATAAATTCCCGTGTTCTTCAACTATGTCGAAGGCAGAAAAGGAGGCAATGAGTGTTTGTGGGTGGCATATAGTGACAAGCTGGCTGGTGGACAGCTCTGCTTTCTGGGTAATGTCAGCCATCTGGGCTGTGGCCAAGACCCAGGCAAGAGGCCTTCGGTGGCCCAGTCCAGACACAGCTGTCCCAGAGGGCACACATGAATTCCTCTCCTGGTACCTGTTTCCTTTTGTTTTGGGGGTGGTTTTGACAATTGGCTGTTTGCTGTGTGTTTTCCTGGTCACTACTGGACCCTGCAGGCGAAGCAGGAGAAAATAGCCATCAACGATCCAGAGATGCTTTTAAAAAGATATCCAAAGTGGGAAGACATTCAGTATGGTGTCATCAGGTCACCCCTTTATATATACATAAAATTCATATATATATATGAATGATATAGATATAAAATGACCCTTTTAAGAAAGTTACAAATGCCTTGCTCTGTGAGATTAGCAACATTAGTGTTCTATTTGTGAGAATTTTTTTTAATGTGTATGTGCATTTTTACAAAGCCATATGCTCAGGGATGCCCACAGAGGGACTCAGGTCCCCGGTGCTGCAGTTCCAGGCAGTTGTGGGCCATCTGACAGGGGTGTTGGGAACTGAACTCCAGGCCTCTGGAAGGGCAGCAAGTGCTGTTAGCTGCTCACCGTCTCTAGCCCCTGTGCTACATTTTAATAAACGCTATCCAGAATACTTAAACCAGAGGCTAGTGTGTCTGTAAAATAGCATAGTTGACAGAAATATCTCTATTTTGTATTTTCTTCTTTGTCACTGAGATTAAGCGCCTTTTAATTTCATCTGTGAATTACTCACTCTAAAAACCTTTTCTTCTTATCATTCTGCAAATGGTCTTTATATATGCATATGCTGGCCTGTGTTTATTTTTCTGTGCTTTCTACCCCACTTGGTTGATGGCCTCTTACAAGAAGTTCTTGGGTTTTATAACTAGATTTATTGACCTTTTCTTAGGTCTTCTGGGTTGAAAGAAAAAAAAAAAAAAGCCCTTACTAGGCATAAAAGCCCTTCATTGAGCGTTCAAAAAAACCAGAGCTTTCCTGTACGAAGCCTGCCTGTTGGGGCTGGTTATGATGACAGGAGGCGGTGGCACTGTGGGCCTTCCTGTTTTTAAAGGCAGTTCCCTTCCTTCTGTGGGTACAGGACAAACTAGAAAAGCATCCCAGCGCCCCTGCTCCCTCCAGGCCTCGGGCAGGTTGAGGACACAGTTAAAGAAGGCAGAACAAGTTTGGGAGAGAATTGTAGAACTAGTCAAACAAGAAAGGTGTTTGCTAGATTCTGGGGGAGCAGGTAGGCTGGTACGCTGTGGGAACAGGTCACCCTCTGGCCTGGGTGGGGGCCAGCACAGGTTTAACTATTAGAAAGGCCACACTGGTCTGAGTTCACACCAACAGATACGTTCTAGAAAGCTAAAGTGGGCTCCCAAGCCCCCAGGAAGCGGACCCCCAGCCTCCTATACGTGGAGTTCTCTTGGTAAAGCACCTCTGGGCTGTAGGAATGTTCACACTCAAGTCATTTATCAAAGTTACACCAGAGTCACAGTTCACACCCAGAGCCAGCTGGCTCTGAAGTTGTCAGTTTTCCTTACTAACCACAGGTGCCACAGGCCCGTTTGGCTTCCAGTGTGCTGCCTTCGGCCGTTGCTGCCCACCCTTCTGGGGTCACAGACCTGCCACTGCCCATCTCTTCTTTTAGGATAGGGTTTCACAAGCCAGCTCAAGCTGTCTGGAATGATCCTCCTACATCACCACACCAGACCCTGGCTCCTTGAAGTCCCTCGCGGAGCATACGCCCCCCCCCACCCACCCACCGAGCCCTTCCCCCACAGCGGAATGGGTATCCTGGCCTGGGCAGCGGCCATCAGACACACACAATGAGAGCTGCTGTGGGGCCAGTGCCAGCTGACCACAGCGGCTTTGTGACCCTCTCGGAGCGCTGTCAGGAGAAAGGGGAACAATAAGCCTTTCTCCTGCCGCCAGGGCGGATGCTCTCAGCACCGTACCACGACTGTTTCCTGTAAGTGAAGGGCAGAGTCCCGCTTTAGCCTGCAGCTGCCTAGCCTGCACTCTGCCATCAGTCTGGCTTCCTGGCATCTGCCCTTTGAAAGCTGTGGTTGATAATCTCTCAACACCTGCTGTGAATGGCAGCCCATGTCTCCCCTTACGGCAGCCCTGTCCACGCACAGGACCCTGGAGTCTCATTTTACAGGGAGAGAAACTGAAGGCCGAGTTCCATCACAGACTCTGACGTCTTGGGTGGGCGGGTGGATGGGTGCTTAAAACTAGCATCTGGGGCCCATCCGATCCGTGCTGAAGAGCGTAGGCAGGGAATGGGAAACATAGCCATTGGTGAAGCGTCTGCTGTGCCTGCCGTCTGTCCATTCGTCACAAGGCTGAGCTTGGGAGCCTGATACCCAAGTGAGCAAAACAAAACCCGGGCTGTCTCTACGGGGTAGAGAGAGAGGCATGGAGACAGTAGGATCCCAGGAGCTTGATGCCTGTCCAGTCAGTGAGCACTGTGTTCACTGAGAGACCTGAGGAGAGTGATTAGGAAAGACACCACTGTTGGCCTCTGACCTCACACCAGCATGCACGAAAGTGTGGGAGAAGAGCCTACCAGGGATACCAGCTTCCAGCAGTCCGCTCACCCATGGAGAGGGTTAAATAGTACCAGGAGCCTGCTGGGACCCTTAGGGCTTACAGCCTGCTGCTCCAAGGGGCAGTGACTTAGGCTCCATGAGGGACTTGAGTGGGTTAGATATGGGCACGCACCTGCCATCCCACCGTTTGGAGGCAGAGGCAGGAGGACTGTGGGCTACTCAGCAAGGTGTCTCAGAAAGAAAGAGTGAAATGTGGGTATGCCGTGGGGTGTGCACCCCACAGAGACTCAGAGACAGGCTGGGTCATGGGGCCTGACTCTAGAAGTAGGACACCATGGAGCACCTGAAGCCCGTGTGCCAGCGTTTGTCCCACCCTGGGCACCAGCTAAGTACATCTTTAGTTTTTTTTTTTTTTTGTTCAAGACAGGGTTTCTCTGTGTAGCCCTGGCTGTCCTGGAACTCACTCTGTAGACCAGGCTGGCCTCGAACTCAGAAATCCACCTGCTTCTGCCTCCCAAGTGCTGGGATTAAAGGCGTCCGCCACCACCGCCCGGCGTGTTTTTCTTTTAAACTGATTTTTGTGTTTATTTGTATGAGCTTGTGTGAGCCGTGGAACCCAAGTCAGGGGTCGAAGAACAACTTGTGAGGATCTGGTCCTTCCTTCTACCGTGTATGTCCCAGGGACTGAAGTCAGACCACCAGGCTTGGCACTGGGATCACAGTGAGCCAACTCTCAGGCCCTTAATTTAATTTTTGGAGGCAGGCACTCTGCCTCCGCCGTGCCCCCAGCTCAGAAGCATCATGGTGTCATGTTTTCTTTCAAGAGGTTCTGCTTTATAGTCCAGGCTAGCCTCAAATCCTCAGTGGTCCCGCCTCCACCTCCTAAGCGTGGGCAATACAGGTGTGTATCCCATACATAGCCGGCGCACCTTAAATCCTGATTTCTGACTCCTGTGCCAACCTTGCTAAACGCTCAGCTGACACAGGAAGAAACAGGCGTGCGGTCAGGGAGGCTTGCCCCACTGAGGAATGTCGGGTCAGCCTCACTACCACCTGCCTGGTGTCTAGTCCATCATCCCACCGTGTCAGGGGCGTGTCATCAAAGGTGGCTCCACCACACGCCTCTTCACATCTGCAGTGAAAGAATATTCCAGATGGCTAGCCAAGTGTGCTGGTCACCTTCAGTGGAGTTTACCTGCAGAAGTTCTTCCTCGGGGCCATTTGTGAAGTCTTTAAGGCAAGGCCCTGGTCTGCCTCCTGGGCAGAGGCATCTCCCTTCTGTGGGCCTCGAACCACTTCTGACCTGCTGTGGTATCTTTGTGTCCTTGACTCTGAGTCACTTAGCAAGCCCACTTCCCAGCAGGGAGAAGCTGAGGGCCGCTTTGCTCAGGCCGCCATGGTGAGGCCCGCACTGGAGTGTGACTCTGCAGGCCTGCACCTCTCCTCCACAAGCAGCTTTGGTGGGTGCAATATTCTGGCTGTGGCGATGGCCTGCCGAGAGGATCAGAGGCAGGAGCCTACCTCACGTGCCAAGCACAGTACCGCTGTGTGCTGGTCTGTACGTCATCAGCTCGAAGGGACCACTGCTCGTATAAAGCCCCGTTCTACTGGGACCTGCCAAGAAGGTTCCCACCTCCACACGGGAACACTGGAGCTCCAGGGCAAAGAGTGTGTGTTCACTTGTCACACGCCTGTGATGGGTCCCGTTGTCCTGTTCACAGGGTGGGAAACCTGAACTCACATGAACAGCAATGCCTGAGCCTACCCTGCCAAAAAGCCCAAGGTCACATGGGTGCCGGCTGCAGGGTGCAGATGGGGTATTTCCACCGTGGCAGAGAGCTCTCCTGGGTGGTGCTGTGCTGGGGAGAAGCAACTCCACCAGCCCTCAGAGGCTCTGACCAGTTCTGGAGTGACAGTCCGCAGTCATCCAGATCCCAGAACTCCCTGAATTCATGTGGCCACAGAACCTTCCGAACACCTATAAATGGTTCTTCCCAGAACACACAGGTGAAGGTCCTGCTGTGTCCCAAGTGCCACCTTGGTTAGGGATCTAAATCTCTCTTCCCATTCTATTCCCAGATTGCCTTGGGTCCCCGGTGTTCACGCCCATCAAGGCAGACATAAGCGGTAACATCACCGTAAGTACTCAACCGGGCAGCTAAACCATCTCTCCCCAGTTCCAGCCCGAGGACGAGGCAGAGAGCAGGAGGCAGTGGAGTGCTAGCCCTCTCAGGCCCCATTGCCAGCATGCAGTCCAGGGTCAGGCTGACACTCTGCCACCTGCCTCCGCCAAATAAGAACTCAAGAGATGGAGAAGGGCTGGTGGGGTGGCTTAGTGGTTAAGAACACTGGCTGTTCTCCCAAAGGTCCTAAGTTCAGCTCCCAGCACCACATGGTGGGTCATGGCCATCTATCAACAGATCTTTTGGCATGCAGGTGTACATGCAGACAGAGTGCTCAGACATTTAAAAGAGAGAGAGAGAGAGGGAGAGGGAGAGGGAGAGGGAGAGGGAAAGGGAAAGGGAGGGAAAGAGAGAGAGAACACAAGATGGGGTAATGGTTTAAGTCTTAGAAAATGGAGACCTGAGGATGACAAACCCGAGTAAAAGCCAGGGCTGGGTGGTGCTGGGGAAGTGGAGAGAGGTGGGTCCTTGACGGTCATCCGACAGCCAATGAGAGAAGCTTAAGATAGAAAGATGGAGGGCTGGCAAGACGGCTCAGTGGTCTAGGATGCTTGCTCCTGTTTCAGAAGCCTGGACTTTGGTTCCCAGCACCCATACCACCCAGCTCTCATTGCCCGTAACTCCAGTTCTGGGGATCTAGTGCCCTTGTCTGGCCTCTGTGGGTACTTACATGTGTACACACACACACAGACACACATACACACACACACACAGACACATACACACACGTATCCCCATATTCTAATAAGTCAGTCATACATATATACACAGCAGGGGAAAGAGAAAGGCGGCGAACTCTGGTTGGGCATCATCATGCAGGCAATCCTGTCATTCCAGCACTCAGGCTAGACCTATGCTAGCCTGGGCTATCTAATGAGACATCCCACCCACTCCCAAGGAAACAATAAGAAATCAGGTCTGTGGCGGCATCCACGTGTCTCCTCCATGCACGCCGAGTGCACACAGGTCTCGCTTCGTGGTCTCAGGTCTCCAGCCCCAGAGACCTTTGAGCCTGGCGCTGCTGAAGCTCAGAGTGGTGGGTCACTCACTTAAAGTCACACAGCAAGAAAGTACAGAGTAGGGAGTCACACTCAGCCAGTCTCGTCAGACTGACCTGACGCCAGCTCGGGGGCTGTTTAAGCTGGATGGTTTTGAACCCTTTTGCCTGTGTCCATCCCTCTTCACTGAGGGACTCTGTGTCTCTGCTGCCTGAGACCTTGTCAGCCAGCCGGGCTGGAGCCCAAACCTGTGACCTTTGGCTACCCATGACCTTTGACATGTTACAGCACTACCCGGAGCCTCTGTGTCTTAATCCATGGACTGGGCATTGAGAGTGGTGACAGGGACCTGGGTGGTGTCAGTACCTAGGATACTGTACACATAGGATGGGGCGCTCTGTCCAGTGTCTGCCGAGCAGGCCGTGACCTGGACCCTCTCTGCTTTGTTCTAGAAAATCAAAGCCGTATATGACACCGACCCAGCCAAGTTCAAGACCCTGCAGAACATCCTGGAGGTGGAGAAGGCCATGTACGGGGCGGAGTGGCCCAAAGTGGGGGCCACCCTGGCACTGCTATGGCTGAAAAGGTGAGGGACTTGTGGGCGTGGCTGGGCTGCGTTGGGCGGGGTGTGCTAACCCTGTCATGTGGTGATTGCTGCTGACACTTCCTTGTGCTAGCCCCAGAGTTGGCAGAGGAAGGGCCTGCTCCAGCCCTAGGCTCCTGCTGAGTTCTTTAGACAGTTTCAGAGATTGTGAGTCAGAAGTGGCATCTCCTTGTCTCACGGAGGAGCCCACAGGGGCATCTGGGGGCCAAGTCACAATCCAGGTTGTCTGAGCACAGTGGTAGCCATGCTGTACACAGGTGGATTTATGTATTATCAGTCTCTCTCTCTCTGTGTCTCTATCTCTGTCTCTGTCTCTGTCTCTCGCTCTCGTTTTTGTTTTTGTTTTTTTGTTTTTTTTTTGAGGCAGAGTTTCTCTGTGTAGCCCTGGCTGTCCTTAAACTCGCTTCGTAGACCAGGCCTTCCTCAAACTTAAAGAGATCAGCCTGCCTCTGTCTCCTGAGTGTTGGGAGCCTCTTGACAGGAATACTATAGCAGTTCCACTGAGTTTGCGTAGATAGGCATGTCCCTGCTTTGAATCTTTGCAGTGGTCTCCTAGCTCCAGGATTCTCTAGCCTCGTGATGCCAACTGCCGTGGAGAGGACAGGGACCCCTGCCCTGCCCCATGGCACTTCCCAGTGTTGACATCTCAGGGCTCTGGGCCAGGACCCAGGAGGACAGGGCAGCTCGGCATCTGAAGCCCACTTCCCAGCCCCCAACACGTGCTTGTCTCTGGTGAACTGGACCAGGGGAAGTTGGCTTCCCAGAGGGCGGAGCTGGGCGGTCATTAGGGTAGGGTTGCTTAGGAGATGTCCCACACACACTGCCTGACTTTGTCATGTGGCCCTTGAAGGCCTGGGCTAAAGGACACCCCCAGTTCTCTTACCCAGCAGTAGCAGGCAGGAGAGGTGCTGTGTGTATCTGAGTGACATTCGGGCTATGGGTGAGCAGGAAGGTGGCATTGGCTCTGGAGTGTGATCAGCCGTTGTCACGTTGGAGAAGCCTCTAGCTAAGACAAGCCGGGGTTCAGCTCTGCTCCAGAAGCACTCCCACGGCTGCCACCAGCCCCCTGCAGGAAGGGAGCAGAGACATTTGTTTGGGTTCCAGTCAGGTTGTGACGGGCAGAGAAGGCAGGAGACTGGGGGGAAAGGCTGAAAGGGCACTTGGCTGATGGTGCCCGGTTTGGCCCCGTGTGTTTGAAGGGCGTAGGACACAGGCCCTGTGTGCATGGCACTTTTGTGGCCCTGGTGGAATGTTCCAGACGGAGAGGAAGTGCTCCTGTTAGCCCAAAGTCTCTGAGGGCTCAGCCCTCCCTTGGCCAGCTTCATTGTGAGGCAAGATGTCTTTGTAACAGATTCGTGTGGAAGAAGATACTCACTTCATGGCTGACAGGAAACCGGAAGTCACTAGGGACCCACTTTCACCAGCTAGGCCCTGCCTCCCACAGCAACACCCAAGCCTTCCACACAGGAGCCTCTGGGCACCTTTCCTATTGTCTTAGCTGCACCACAGGGCTGGCAGTGGTCCTGTTTCCAATTCAGGTTTCCTGCTGTGTCCCGTGAAGCCCAGGCAGGGGTCACTATAGTCAGGCAGCACAGTGGACAGATTTAGAAAGGTCCTGCAGAGGTGAACAGCCAGGACAGGCAGTGTGCCTGATGTATCTCTGGCCATTGGACCCTTCAGGGGTCACTCTGGCTTCATCCTTTAAGCCCCGAGAGGCTGCAAGGACCCAGAATAGGCTCTGTTTAGAGGCACGCTGCCACAGACCCGAGTGGAGCTGGGTCATCCCATTGCTTAGGGGCTGGGTTGCCTAAGGAGGGTACTCCCCTGTGCACCAGCTGCAATGGGCCATGGCCCTAAATGTCTGTTCCCTTGACCACAGGGGTCTGCGCTTCATCCAGGTGTTCCTGCAGAGCATATGCGATGGGGAACGGGATGAGAACCACCCCAACCTCATCCGCGTGAACGCCAACAAGGCCTATGAGATGGCCCTAAAGAAGTACCATGGCTGGCTGGTGCAGAAGATCTTCAAGGTGAGCGCCACTGTTGGGACAGGACTTAGGTTCCCTCCACTGCCCTCCTTACCCCGGGAAGGGCTCACCTGTGCTTTGGGGGTGGGGCTGGTGCTCTGAGGTCCCTGTGCAGCCATGGCCAGCCCTGTTTGTGGTTCTTAGTGGTTCTGTGGGCACCTCAGCCTTTGTGTCCATGGCTGCGAGAAGAAACAGAACTCCAGGCTCCAGAACTACAGGGTGATAGCGGGCTACCCTGGGCTCTCACACCAGTCACGGAGGGAAGAAGGGCTCCGTCCCCAAGGAAGTAGCTGCCCCACGTTTACTGCGACCTGTGTCGAGTATGACAGGTCCTGAAAAGGGCTCTAGAGCTAGCCTGGGCAGCAGAGAGGCTGTGGGTTTGTCAGGCTGGAAGGCTTAAGGAAGAGGTAGCAAAAGGCCTTCCCAATGTCCATGGCTACCCCGCCTGTCATGATGTGCTCAGACTGTCCCTCCTTCCCCGGAAAGCCCAGGCTCTGACAGGAAGGGTCCCAAAGCAGCTTGGGTCATGGAACAGGAAGTATGGTGGCCCCCTCTGGGCCTCCTATCTGTGCATATCAGGGGCAAGGGGCCATCTTGAGCATCCCAGTGTTCCCACAGTGTCTTCCTTCAAAAGCCCTTGCAAGCCCTCGACTGTGTCCCAGCTGCCTGCAAGTGCACCACAAGAGGGCGCTGTTTCACACTGCGCCCTCTGATGATCTCAAAGTCCTAAGATTCAGCAGTGGGCCTGGGCCTGGTTGGCGGCTACACCTCTTCCCAGAATGTTCGTATAGCACAGGTTATCTGAGCCAGCCTGGACAACATAGTCAGATCCCATGTCAGAAAGATACAGTGAGCGCCTGGGAGCCTGCCTCTGAGTCTCAGTGGCCTCACGGCTTGGCTTGCATGAGTGCGAAGCTGGCCCTACCCCGGGGTCTGGGCCCTGTGTAGCCCGTGGCTCAGGCTGGGACCCAGAGCATTCACTCCTTTCAGCGTGGATCACGACAGATCATAGCAGCCTGGGTGTTTACTTGGCTGTGGCCTTTTCCTCTGGTTCTAAGGGTCTGTGAATTTCTGATTCTCTGCCCTCTGAAGAATTGAGGCACTCCCCCCCAATTTAGCCAGGAGTCCCCTTTAAGGACAGGCAGATGTGTGCCTGAGTTTGGAGTGTGTCACCTAACCTTCCCCAACTGTTTTGTGTTACGGTTTTGTGTTTTTGAGACACGTTCTCACCGGGTAGCCTTGGCTGACCTGGAACTCACTTTGTAAACCAGGCTGGCCTCGAACTCACAGAGATCCTCATGCCTCTGCCTCCTGTGTGCTGGGACTGAAGGCATGTGCCACCTTGCTTGGCTACACCTCCCTGATCTTAACACAAGCAACCAAATTGGATATAGCTAAGTAAATTACTCAGGGCCATGCTGTGGTGTACACTCAGGTCTGCCTGTATGTACCCCAGGCTGGTGTCCTGCTGCCCCTCATAGCGGAGGGGAGACACACTTCTCTTTTCTCTTCCAACAACATGAGCAGAGAGACTTGCCCAGCACTGGCCAGGGGCGGCCCTTTGCCCAGTGTGTGAGCCCGGTCCTTCTTCACTAATGCTGTGCCTTCCTCGCCTCCTGCCCCTCAAGGCCGCACTCTACGCAGCACCATACAAGTCCGACTTCCTGAAGGCACTCTCGAAGGGGCAGAATGTGACAGAGGAGGAGTGCCTGGAGAAGGTCCGTCTCTTCCTGGTCAACTACACGGCCACCATCGACGCCATCTACGACATGTACACCAAGATGAACGCGGAACTGGACTACACGGTGTAGGCGCCCGAACACACAGCCCGACGCGGGCACAAGCAACCCCATCACTGTGAATCAAGCTGGGAGCCCAGCTCAGTGCCCCGGCAGGCCAGCCTGGGTGTGCAGGGGGCGGCCTTAGCTTGTTAGAGGTCTTTTGTTTTCTTGGTTTTTGTTGTCTTGGCCTATTCTAACAGAGCAATAAACACCTTCCACTCACTCCTGCTTTGCCAGCAGCTCAGGCCGAGCCACCGGCCTTCCAGTGTGGTTTAAACCAATTAACGTTGCTAACAATGAATTCCTAGGGTTTTGTCTTTTCCTCCCCTACCTAGCTCAGGAGGAACCCAGCTCAGGGGAGACATACACCTCACCCAGGAAAGAGGCCTGGTCCATCTGGCCCAAGGGTGTCTTGGATGTTTGAAGGACAATGGAATCTGACTGGAAGTTCAGCAGGGGCCACAAAGGGCCCTCACGGCTGGCATGACCAGCCCTGTTCGTTCTCTCTCTCTCTCTCTCTCTCTCTCTCTCTCTCTCTCTCTCTCTCTCTCTCTCTCCCCCCCCCCCCTCTGTCTTTTGTCAGACTGGTTTCTGTTTTTTTTCCTGAAATGTACCAGCAAGCCTTTTCAAACCACTGACTAGGCACACACGGGTGACCATACGTGACTGTGTTTGCATTCTTCTACATAATGACTTTCTTCAGGGTTGGCTCTGCCAACCTAAGAAACTTCCTGTCCTGGGAGCCCTCCAGCTGCGGAGACCCAAGAAACTGCCCTGCTGCCTTAACCATCCGTCCTTCCGGAGCTAAAAGAGCTATATTTTTTCCAAGTATCAGGGTAAACACATCCTGAAAGAATTGATGTATGTTTAAAAAAAAAAACCCAATGAGGAACATTTGGTGATTTTTATGCAGAAACTAAATAATCCTTAATAAATAAATCTATATTTTGAAATCACATCTGCATGTGTCTATGGCTCTTGATTCTTCAAGTGCTTTCTGTATTAAAGGTTACAACTTGGAACCATGAGAGTTAACTCGGCACTCCTGGAAAGAGGAAACCTCAACTGGGGAATTGTCTTCTCCTAATAGCCCCGTAGGCACGTCTATGGTGCAGGTTCTTGGCTGTTAATTAATGCAGAAAGGCCCTGCCCACCGTTAGTGCTGCCATCCCTGGACAGGAGGGCCTGGGCTAACCAAAGCTAGAGTAAGCAGTGTTCCTCTGTGGTCTCTGCTTGAGTTCTGTCTCAGGTTCCTGCCTTGACTTCATTCTGGGATGGACTGGTGGACTGGCCTGTAAGCCAAATTCACACACACACACACACACACACACACACACACCCATACACCCTCCAGCTGTTTTTGGTCAGAGGTTTGGCTGCAACCACCAAAAGCAAACTAGAACAGGGACCTTTCAACCAAATCCATCAAGGACCTGTCTTCTGGTCAGACTCAAAAAAAATATAACTGGTGGCCAGATAAAGAGAAGTTTCACAGAAAGAAAAAAAAAATCACGTATGTAGCTCCTTTGAAACACCGGGAACCAGACCTGGTGGCATGGAGCTACAATCCCAGCACTTTAGAAGCAGAGGTAGGAGGATTGTGAATTCAAGGCCAGCCTGGGCTACAAAGCAAGAAATGAGGGGGGAAGAGAATCATGATTTTCCATGGGATCTGAAAAACGAGGGTGCGTTCTTCGTTTGCCTCGGTTTCTGCCCAGCTCTCTGACCAAAAGCTGATTCTTTTTCTGATACTAGGGTTACAAGGAGAGGAAAATGTTTTCCTCAACCTCTGGATAGTCTTAGTTGTGCAAGGTGGGTCAGCGCCCGAGGGTTGTGTTCTAATCACTCAGGATGCCACCGGTCTTCTACACTCTGATTGCTTTCAGAGGTTGGGCTTCCTAGAAACGGAACACTCTGCCAATAAAAGACTTCTGTGTCTTCCTTCTAGCTCCAGTGTACTGCAGTGAGGTCGGGAGGGCTCGTTCTTAGAAAGGAAAGACTTGCCCAGGGCCAGCCTCCTTCACTCCGGGCACCTGCTGGGAGATTTTGAGCCCAGAGACAGGTGTCTAGTTCATCTTTGTCATGAGGGCACTGAATTCTTCCTGAGACAGAGAGAGAAAGAACAAGTATCACTTCACCTGGGATGTCAGGAGCCCCATTTTTCAGAAGAGAAAACAGCCCTGTCCCCCAGGGGACTCCCATCTCACTCCATGCCCCCAATAGTAAGTCCAGGGTCCCCCAAACCCCCAAGTGACCCCTTAGGTACCCCTCAAGTAACCTTTTATGCCAAGAAACTCCAGCAGCCCTGAGCTTGCTTGATCTATGCTTGTTGAGTCACTCACTTAAAATGCCTACTCTCAAACTTTTTCTAACGTGTATCTGACGTCCCTCCACGTTTCAGGCCTCAGTTTCCTTATCTGTAACACCAAGGTCTTACCAGGCTTATGCTTGAATGCTACCTCAGTATCTGTAAGGCAACTGCAGCGGGTTTGGAGCTGCTTAGGGAGTGTGTTAAAACTGCACCCCCATGTGGAGGGCGTGTGAGCTACCTGTAAAGCCAAAAGGGTAAAATGAAGACGAGCCTCAAGTTATGGGGAAAAAAGTAAAAAAATAAAAAAAAAACAATTCCAAGAAAAAACGCAAAGTGTACTGGCTGTATGCCACATGTAAAAATACATAACCCATGATATGCACTTCCCCATCAAAAATAGCTGACTAAATATGCTTGAGTGTGTTTTTTAACCAATAAATTTAGAAAATACCTCAACTAACCAGTAAAATAACTGTTGCTAAAGTCTGCCCCCCAAAAAATGATATATAAGGTGTATGCTTTTTGGGCAGGGAGTCGCTCTCTTCCCTGTTTGAGGGGTGACCCTGACATGCCGGAACAATAAACCTCTCGCTGCTTGCATCAGTCTCAGTATCCGTGTCTCTGTGCACTGCGTGCCCCAGAGTTGAGACCCTCGGGTCCAACAAGCTGTGAAGTATAGAGCTCCCCTCCCCGCTGTTCTGGTACCAACAGATCCTAGCTCGCCCTAAAGAACCGTGCCCGCAGTTCCCCTATATTCGGCAGGTGGCGCTGTCCGCACACCTCTTTGCAGGAGAGCCAGGGGCGGGGCCTGCCAGCCCCTCCTCCGTGCCCGGCAGGCGGCCACGCCCATCAGCTTCCGTAGTCTGATTTAAGGCTTACGAATGTCCTGTCTCTGTTTGACTGTTTGTCGCTGCTGCACCACCAGCACCTGACAGTTCTTCTGTCGTTCTGTCTGCACGCCTCTCTGTGCCCCAGTTTCCCCACGTGCACGCTACAGAAGCATCTTTACTTTTCAGGATTATGTAAAATACCGAGTGGAAATTCTTGACGCAAAAAAAAGTAAGTAAATCAATCAATCAATCAATAGGGCTGGAGAAGGTTCTATTCCCAGTACTCACATTGAGAGTGACAGCCGGAGCCGGGCAGTGGTGGCGCATGCCTTTAATCCCAGGACTTGGGAGGCAAAGGCAGGCGGATTTCTGAGTTCAAGGCCAGCCTGGTCTACAGAGTGAGTTCCAGGACAGTCAGGACTACACAGAGAAACCCTGTCTCGGAAAATAAAAAAAAACAAAAAACAAAACAAAAAAAACCAAAAAACAAAAATAAAAAAAGAGAGAGAGAGTGAGAGTGACAGCCGGCTGTAATTCCAGTTCCATGGGATCGTACGCCCTCTTTTGAACTCTCTGGGCACTGCAGGGTACGTGGTACACACACACACACACACACACACACACACACACACACACGGAGACAAAACACTCATACAGTAAGATAATTTTTTAAAAAAAAATTACAAAATGTCTGATGCATGGAATATGGTCAACACTACCTTTGCTGATATATTTTTATTTATTGTGATTCTGACACCTGGCTGGAGCACCTGAAGGGACAACCTAGCCCCCCCACATACACACTGTAATTAGCTATTCAACCCGTTCACTTCTTGTTCTTAACCACACAGTAGAGTTCGTGCCAACACATCAGTCTAGGATACCAGTGGCCCACGCACTGGGGAGGCAGAGGCAGGTTGATCTCTTGAGTCTGAGGCCAGCCTGGTCTATGAAGTGAGTTCCAGTACAGCCAGAGCTGTATAGTGAGACTATCTCAAAACAGACAGATAGACAGACAGACAGACAGACAGACATCCTAGAAAGTGTTCTGCAGTCTGGCTGCTATTTCTCCCTGTCTTCGATGTGTTGTATGATTCTGGGTAAGTCACTTCTTTCCCTGGGACCTCTGTTTTGTCATCTTTAAATGGGCCCCCGGCGGGGGTGGGGAGTGGTTTGTTGGTTAGATGTTTCAAAGCTCTGGCTTCCCAGTTCTGTTAGCCTGAATGGACACCTAAGCCCAGAGAGCAGTGTCTGGCTTGTCCTAGCTATGTAGACATCAGTCCTCAGCCTGTGTCCTGGGAGGGGACCACACATGCAAGGGGCTCAGGGATCAGTGCAGCCCTGAGCCCCAGAGAAGGCTGACTGTCATGGCTACTTGGTAACTAACCCTAGGTCACTCCTTGGTCTGCAGTGATTGCCCGGAAGGAATGATTCCTTCAGCTCCTGTTCGCCAAGCACCTGTGCAAGACCCTGACATAGGCTCAGGGAATTCTGCAACAAGACACAGAGGCGCCCAGACACAGACACAGAGCAGAGAGAGTCATGAGGCTCTAGGGTGAATGGCAGACTGGACGGTGTCGTGGAGATTATTTATGGAGTCCTGATTTAACCTGGGAACTGGTTGACACAGAACTCTCTGAAGAGGTGTCCTGAGAGCTGAAACCTGAGCAGGTGACAGCGAGAGGCTGGTGATAGCTAGTGCAACGGCCTTGGAGTTGGAAAGGAAGCAACATCTGTTTTTCCTGGTAGCACAAGGGACAGACACCAGGTCTAATGGCTCTTACACGCCAGGTAAGTTTTACCACTTGGTTATATTAGAAGTTGGTATGTACTAGGGACAGAAAGAGGCCCATGTAGCCAAAGCCCGACGGTCCGAGGAAGATGTCACCCATAGGTGCTGAGTTTACCAGGAGGGCTTGGCTTCTGTTCTAAGAACAGAAAACTGTTTCAGAGAGAAGACAGTGACCAAGTTTATACTGTAAGCAGCTGTTTGCCAGGTGCTCGAGGAGGTCCCTGTTACGGACTCTGGAGAAGCTGTGATGTTCCCTGTCACAAGAAGCATCTGGCTTGCTGGGCGGTGGTGGCGCACACCTTTAATCCCAGCACTTGGGAGGCAGAGGCAGGTGGATTTCTGAGTTCAAAATCCAGCCAGCCTGGTCTACAGAGTGAGTTCCAGGACAGCCAGGGCTACACAGAGAAACCCTGTCTCGAAAAAAAAAAAAAAAAAAAAAAAGAAGCACCTGGCTCCTTCTGACTGGTCATGGGAACCAGCGTCACCTGACTTTGTGGTCGGACCTGGGAGATGGGCGTGGGGTGTGTTCCAAGCCATGGTCCCTGTGCTGGGACTTCAGCTCAGTCACTAGAGTGCTCTCCTGGCAGGCAAAGCCCCAGCATCCTATTGTCTGGATGTGGTAGCTGGCGCATGCTTATTATCCCAGACTTAGGGGGGTGGAAGCTGGAGGACCAGGAGTTCCAGGTCATCCTCCGCTACACAGCAATTCCAAGCAGAGTACCTCAGCCCTCGTCTCCAGAAAACCACCACAGTCCTTGCTTTTGACACCCTCGTTCACATCTCACAAACCTTCATCCACACCAGCAGCCAACCCAGGGACCCCAGTTAAGAACCCCTAAAGTCCCTCCCTCCCTGCGCCGTCTCTGAAGTGTCCCCTGGCCAACTGCAGCTAGGCCACACCCGCAGGCTACCAGGCCAGCTGCCCAGAGGAATGGCATCACACCCAGCGGCTAAGCCCTGCAAGTGGCTGTGCCCATGGTAACGGTCATTTGAGGAGACCGGGCTTCTACCCCACCTGGCCTCAG